TGTCCAAGCAGTAGTCTAAGTGTCTGTACTAAGGCTTTTGGTGAAGGAAACATCTTGGACAAGATGCCATTTGGAGCCTTGTTCTTCATGTGATAAAGTGATTTGGAACAGGATTTTAAAGAGTGGGAGTGGATTGTTTGGTATGGATGCAGGATAATAAATTGAAGTGATTGCAGTGAGCCAAGAGACTTTCCAAGGTAATGGGTGTTTTGTACTGTTAGACAGTGGGATTAACGTTCAGTGGTATGAAGCATTTGTTTTGAGTTATGATAGGTCATGAGATACTGGACCTTGAAACAATATCCGCCTACGCTTTTCCCTAGTGTGAATTTTTGGCGACTGGTCCAGAACTTTGTAAAGTAAGTCCTGGAACTTGAACTAGAGAGATTTTTCAGTTGCTGCCAAGATAAAACGAAACCCCAGTTGCATGTTTCGCTCCAGCAGTACTGGCCTGCTGTATTTTGAGGTTCTTCCTGGGAAAAAGAGGGGTGTAATGCAACTAAAACCTCTATATTGTAAGTACTACCAGTGGTAGACGCATCTACCATTTTTCTCTGTTTAAATCTTCTGGTAGTGTTAGCGGTGCTAGAGGTCTGCAAGCCCAGAGAATCTCGCGGACATTCGCTGTGCACGTTAGCGGCACTGGTGCTCTAGCTCCAGAGATGAACTTGGCACGGGCCGTTGCATAAGCAGACTTCCCGCAAGTGATTTCCTGTCGTTAGATGCTCTTTTGGAACTGTTACACTGGGAACAGTTTCCATTTTGCTTTTAGGAAATTTAGTAACACTGGGATTAGCGATTTATGTTTGAGTCACGGCGCAGATTGTTTCTGCGTTTATGCAGGAAAATAATAGCTTTATAATCCTGCGAGATAAAATAGGCTTTAAAAATTCTGCTTTGAGTTTCATTTTCAAGTTGGCATTATGAACTCTTAACACTTCAAAATAAGTGGATGTTATTTTTCCTTAATAGTCAGGTAACTGAGTATAAGGAAAGCTCTAAAAGCTGTATTGTGGTACAGAGAGAAGAGTCTGATAGTGTAAAACTTGAACATAGCTTGAGCTTTGCATAAAATTTCTGCTGAAAGATACCACTTGAAATAAAACCCTTGCTCACAGATGAGGTTATTTTTGGCTGGCTGTTGGTGCGTAGCCTTCTGGTGGAGGTGCCAGCAAGAAGTGCTGTGTTCCCCCACACGCTGGGGAGCAGAGAGCAGGGCACTGCGGGGCCCTGGGGACTAGAGCTCGCCCCGCTGAAACTCTTTGGCTCTCATGGGCCCCTGCAGCTCTTTGGGGCCAGCTGGCCAGGGCTGCCCTTGCTCGGGTGCCCAGGGACCACACAGGGACAGAGGGCTGGATTTGGAGTGGATGTGCAGGGAAGGGACAGAGACAAGGGAATTGGCGGGGTGGAGGGAGGGCAGTGCAAAAGAAGAGTGGGATTCACTGAGCAAACTGAAAAGCCTTGACATCTAACAGAGCTGTGATAAGGTTAGCTACATGTGTCTCCCTTCGGTCTTTGGAGCTCTGTATCTTAGTCTAGATGCTACTAATCAGGCTGAACCCTGTAAACAGAGGTATTGTATGAGGTTAAACATTGCTGCTATAGGATTTGGGGTTTGCAGACATCTCATGTGTGTGTACTTGTATGTTTAAGAGAGACAGAGACAGCGAAAAAATCTATTTCATGGGAGCTTATGATACTATGGTAGCAGTTTAGATGGTCACTTACTAATGGAGAACTGTATGAGATTGTGATACCCAGAGTTCTAACAGTCAACAGTAGATAATTTTGCTTTTTTTCCCCCCCTCTATAATATTTTATTCCATCTAACTTGTTGAATGTGTAGTTTATTGGAAAAGAAAGATTTTGATTACAAGCAGCAAGGTTATAGTTACAAACTTTGGAAGTCATATTAAATTGCTTTCCAAAGGAATGCAGCATTAAAATCTGATATATTTAATGATTATGCTTGCTATCTTAAAGAGGATTTGTAAATTTACATGCAGTATTTGGTTATTGTATGAACTAATACTTTTTATTAACCCAAATGAATTGGTATATTTAAAGCATTTTGAGAAATACAAGATTTATACATAAAAATAAGTAAATGAAGTCAAATACTGAATACATACTGAATACATGATCGCAGCATTTTAAATGTATCTTGACATGTGATTGTGATCTCTAGTTAGTGAGATACAATACTGTGATTAGGAGTGTCTTGACAAATACAAGATGGATTTAGGGTCAAAAAGGCTGAAAAGAAAAAGAAGAAAGACAAGTATCTATATCAAAAGGAGACTTATGCCTGTGAAATATGTTGTTAAAAGGATCCTTTAGAACCGTTGTTTGCAGCTGAGGGTAATTCTGTGAACCACCAGCTGTCCCTTCTGGCAGCTGAAATTCACTGCCAATATTAATAAAAAGTGTAATAGTTTTCTGCAGCCAGATACATACAAGATTTGTGGTAATTCTCTCTTCTGTTGGAATTAAGTTACTCTGTAACCTGGTGTAACTGATATGCTATAATGAAAAGCCATCATGAACATAAATTTGATTTTATGATTAATGTGATAGCTTTATTGGTGCCAGTTCTGAGTGTGCTGCTGCTTCACTGCACAGTGGATATAGTATGAACAAGTAAAACTAACCTCACCACACGTTATAAAAATGTAACTGTAACTTGTTATTTGAGACTCTGAAGTTTTATGACTTTCCTGAAGATCCAAATTTACAGATTTGCACTGTTCTTTTAATGGAGATGGAGGAAAGTTTATTACGATTTGGTATTAAGAGCCATTAGAGCACATGTAGTAGCTTGACAGTTAGAAACTTTGTACCCGCAACTCTTGCTTTTTTAATCTTGGTGCTTGCATTCTTGAGCTTTTCATTTTGATTGTATGTAATTTCATATTCGACTTCTGTGAAATCCTTTTTTGCATAGAGAGGGTGATATTTTAGGTTAACGTGGAATTTTAATATCTTGGAAGTTCCTATAATTAATGCTGTATTAATAAATGCACTGTCTACAGCCAACAAGGGAAGTGATGACTTCCCCCTTTTTGAGCAATCCGTAAGCAGAGGTATTTCTCAGAGGAATAAAATTTGCATCATAAGTTTTGCAGTGCCTGCATAGACAATGTGAAATAAATGGAATGAAGTATCATCGAAGCTTGATACCTTCTAAATCTAATAAGCTTATTTTTATGTAGAACACTTTTGTAGTGAGATGGTTCAAATCTTTTGGAAAATTTTCCAAAGAATATATTCACCAAAAGTAAACTATTTTAATTGGGAGAAAGGTGGAAACATCTGCATGTGTGGGAGATATTGGAAATATGTTTTGAGCGCTATGAGGGTGAACTGTAGTGTCTTCCCTCTGGTAACTGTGCCGTTAATAGAATAGCTTGATAAGGCACCCTGTGCAAAGCTGACCAACTATGAACATTTTATACGTGGGAGTAAAGAGGGTAAGGCTGCTGTTTGGCTCATCCTAGTCTGCTTAATTCTGCTGTTAGTTTGAATTGGAGCTTTAAATCAGACTGATGAACTGAGGTATGAAGAAATGCCATTTCCTAGTATGCTGTATCTGTGCGTGTTCTGAATATAAACTCCTGTGCGGGCATGAAGAGGTACCGAAACACAGATTTAGGCAGCACAGCCAAATCCCAAGCTTTTGATTTGCTTTCCTAATACAACACAGTTTGGGAGAATGCAAAAAATGTCATTTTCAGAATATTCATAGCTCTTCGTCACTACCAAGATGAATCCATGGATGAATATACTGAGCCAGCAAGGTATTTACAGATCACAGGAGGTATTCCCAACAATAACACACTGGGCGTGCACAGCAAAACAGAGAGGGCCAGCTTAATATTTGTGGTGAGATCTACCAGAAGAGGAAATGATTTCCTCTCTGAGAAGGGAGTAAGAGAGCAGAGGGTGTGACAGGCACCTTCATTATGGGTCTTAAGTTTGGTAGAAGCAAGTCTTTGGCCACAACAGGCCCATAATAGGCTATGAGCTTCCTGCTGTTTGTGCCCTGATACTGACTGCGCAGGATCTAAATTACCAAGCTGTAGTTTGTTCTTTACCTGATAATTACAATTTTGTTGTAAACTATTCCGTATCTTTTTCCACATTCCTTCTCTGTTCCTCTGTGAAGCACTTTTGTATGTTGATTCACACCCTGGCAGAGAATTCTTGTTTAAACATAAAGGTCAAGGAAGCGGCTGCGTGGTACTCATTACCCTCCAGGATCCCTTCCTGCTCTTTTACCTCTGTGAATTATCTGTGTGTGTTTGACCTTTTCATTTTAAGAAGTTTTGCTCACATTTGACAGTGTTTTGAAGAGTGAGGAAAGTACCAAATGAGGAAACCACAATGAAGTGTCAAATAAAAATGGCCTGTTTCTTAGCATTATCTCTCCCTAAATGGCTTTGGAAGCTTGTCATCTAGAATTGGCGTGAAATGAGTATTACTCTTGTATTTGCTAGTCTAAACTGCTGTAAAACATTGCCATGAATCCTGTCTTGCCTCACTCATCAGTAAAACGCTTCAAGCACTGTTGGATACTTGGATCTGAATATGTGCTGACCAGAATGATGGTAAAATAAGGAATTGGAAAGAGTTTCTGATTTTTCTGAATTGCAAAGAGCTGGGTTGCCTTTCAGAGGGCAGACTGGTTATGCATGTCTGATAATTTAGAAATGCAATGAAATAAACCCCAGATTATTCTTCCATCCCAGGTTTGCAAAAACTCGCTATTTGGGAAAGGAGGCAGGGAAGAAGCTCCTGACGGTGGGTTTTGTTCACAGTCAGCTTTCTCTTATGCTGCAGTTCTAATCAGATAATGCCCCAGTTCTTGAAAAAGCCCACCAGATCAATTTAGTTTTCATGACACAGTTATTACAGTCGAAATTTTATAGATCTTATTGCAAATGTTCAGTTGTAGGATTAGCAAAGACCATATATTAATTTAGAGTTTACTTCTCTTGCAGTTCCCGGAGTGCGGGTTTTTCGGCATGTATGACAAAATTCTCCTCTTCCGTCATGACCTGAACTCAGATAATATTTTGCAGCGGATCACGTCAGCAGAAGAGATACATGAAGGAGATCTTGTTGAGGTTGTTCTTTCTGGTAGGTATTGTTGTAACAACACTTTATTCAATGTGTTTATATATATATATTTTTTTTTTTTTTAATGTAGGTATTGTAGATATAATGTTTGTCCTTTTTTTTTTGTTCTGCAGCTTCTGACACAATTTATATTATTTCACCCAAATGTAATTGCTGAATCATAGCTATAATGTTAAAACTTCTCATGGTGCTAGAAAGCAATTTCTTTGAAAAAGTGGTGGTTCTTAAATGTTTATTAGTCTTCAATTAAAGAGGAAAAAAAATAAACCATGAACTTGATTACAGTCTTGGATTCTGTAGGTTTTACCAATACTCTGTTGAAGTCAACCAAAAGCCAGCAGTAGATGGCAAGTTATTGAAACAAGAAATAAAAGCTGGACTGGTGCTGAGTTGGTCTTTGGAATCTAATTGCCAAACAGAGCCTGTGCTCTAGAAAGAGGGATCTCTTGTTTGTCATGAGATTCAATTTGTGGGTCATTTTTCGGAGCCATAAAGCCAAGTTCTGGACTGCAGTGCAGGACCTACTGATCTAAGCATATTTAGGGTATTTAGTCTCAGATCATCTTGATTTGAGCTTTTCATTGTTTCTAGTTAGCGGCACATTTGGAAAGTCTGTTACGTGCATGTGCATTTAGGTTTTGAAAACAATCTCAAAAGAAGCAAGTTTGTCATTTCATCATTTTCAAATGGCCTTTTGTTCCCTGGCCTAATGCTTCTGCTGGAATCGACCCAAGGGCAGGTACTTCTTGTTGTCAGTCTGACACTTTCCATATCAACAGACCTCCAGAAACAAAGGCGTTTGAAAACACATACATTTCTTTCAATAGAATTTTTAAATGAGACAGAAGAATCTGAAATGTCAGCGTATTGTTTAATAATCAAGAAATAGTGGAGATCAGGGCAAAGTAATTATGGCATAAAATACAACTGTTTTTTTTTTTTTTGCATTCCAAAAAAACAGTTGAAGGTAAAAATACTTTTAGAAGTGTCTGTGCTTGATCAAGAAAATAGAAGCTGTCCTAGCAGTGTTCTGTGTTTCCTGGAAACTTTTTACACAATTCTGTTTTGACACAAATGTCAAATTCAGGCTAATAACCATTCTGAAAAGGTTCTTTAAAAGATAAAAATCTAACCGGTCACACAGTCCTTTGTTAAAAAAGTTTGCAGGATACAAACAACTTGAAAATTGAATTGTTTCTTCAGATGTTTACCTATAAGTTAATCTGAACAAAATCTATTGGATATTCTTTCTCAGTGAGATTCTCAATGTGTAAGAAAAATAGCTAAAAAAACTCGAATCTTGGGGTTGAGTAATTTGTTGTGAGTTATACTGTTGAATGGTTGTTGTGACCATTAGCCTGCAGTATCCAATGATCTTTTTTCTCAATAAAGAAAACTTGCTAAAAACTGTGTAATCTTATAAATACATGTGTACATGGAGAACAATGTAGGGCTAATGCTTAAACAGCTCAAATACTGTTCTTCGAGTAGGCTGTTTTAAAAATAACATTCTTTCCATAAATCCTTGTTGATCTTATGGCAAGCAGCATAACTTACTGCATTTTTGCTTCTAAAAAGCTTTGGCTACAGTTGAAGATTTCCAGATTCGACCTCATGCACTTTATGTGCATTCCTACAAGGCTCCTACTTTTTGTGACTACTGTGGAGAGATGCTTTGGGGGTTGGTACGACAAGGCTTAAAATGTGAAGGTAAGTCTGTTCATGATTTTCGTGTATTTTTGTGTGCATATACTTATACCAGATATGGAAGAAGTTGTATTTCATTTGATAGTGTGTGGTAAATGTAGCATTTGATAGTATGAGAAAGGGCTGTGTATGAGAGAACCTGAGTTCTTATCCTGGCTTTAATGCAAACTGTGTGACCTTGGGCAAATGATTTAAAAGCAAATGATTTAAAAACTGCCCTTGTTTCCCATTTAACTTTTTTTTTTTAATCTTGGGAATATGTGCTGTTTGCACAAGGAACACATATTTTGGAGAGAATCCCAAAGGGGAATCCCTTTGCTCATGGCCTTCATCCAGCTGGACTGTGCAATATACTGCAGCCTGCTGTCAGGTACTAGCGCTGCCTGCTTGCTCGCTTCCTCTTGGCACTTGTGCTCTGAAGTGAGGGAGTGATGAGTGTCTCCTAGTGGGAAGAGAAGTGAGGACAACGATTAGTTGCTTCAGTCTGAGACCCTGTTTCTAGAGCTGAGATTACTGAAAGTGAGTAATTTTGCTAAGCAATGCAAACAGTTTTTCCTATGAATCACATTAACGATGCCAGGAGAATTTAAACAGAACACTTTGTTTCCATTTTTATCATTTTCCTGGGTTAACTTTTCAAATGGTTAACACAAATGGTGGTGTGTTCCCTCTTCCCCCTGCCATGTATCTGTGGAAATCTTCTCTTTCAGGTTGTGGATTAAACTACCATAAGAGATGTGCCTTCAAGATCCCTAATAACTGTAGCGGAGTGAGAAAGAGGCGTTTGTCCAACGTGTCCTTACCAGGAGCAGGACTTTCAACTCCGAGACCAGTGCAAGCTGAATATACATCCTCTGCCTCTGAAGAGGTGTGTGATATGAAAGAGGGGGAAAGAGTATTTCTGCATTTAAATGCTTTGGCTTCTGGGATAGATAGTTCTATCTAGTGTTGTAAGTGGTTTAAAGTGAGTATGGAGAACTGAACTTACTTACTGTGATTGGGTTTTGTTTGCCTTAAAATCTCTGGTGAGTCTTAGACCATGACATTTACTGGGAACTGTTATTGCTGTGAGAAATAGAATTAGAAGTAAATTTTAACTTCTGTGTAAAATTTTGTCATTAATCTGTCCCTCAAGGTAATGTGAACTCTGAGAAGAGTGGTTTCGGGAATGATGAAATACTTTGTATGCTTTGGAACACGAATTTATTCTGTAATTGCAGTATCAGTACGGAATAGCTATTTGGCTGAAACTGTACAATGGGTACACTTTTATGCCAAGAGGAGAGAATGTTCTTGATATATTGTTAAGCTTTTCGAAAAGCTAAAAAAAAAAAAAAAAAAGTTCTGACATGACAAAGAGTGTGTAGGGGTTCAAGGACTTTGAGTAGAAAAGTAGTTTTTCTTCCATAGTAGTTGGTGTTTTGGGGGTTAGTCTTTTTGTTTGTGTTTTTTTTTTTTGTTGTTGTTGTTTGTTGTAATGACTGCTATATGAATGCCAGTAGGTTTTTGGATATAGTGCGGTTAGCTAAACTATACTAAGTGTAACAAAAGGCAAATAGTTACTAGTTTGTTTCATTGCTGCTTTTACCATGGGTGGGTTGTTTCATTCGCCATGCTTTTACCATGGGTGAAAAACTGTTTTTGAAGGTCTTTCCGACTTATCTAAATTTCTGTTTTGTAATCCAATAAATTCTCATGTTCTTAATTTAAATTACATAAATCTAACTTATGAACGCCATAAATTTTTAGCTGGAGGCTAACAAGTCTAGTCTCGAGTCATAAGAGGTAGTCATTTTGATGCTTTGTAACCATTGCTAAGATTTCTTCAGTAAAGGTAGTAACAATAAAGGTGCAACCGTAAGTATTTTTCCTTCCATAGAGTATCCTATTTTTATTTTTATGTGTCTATTTAATACTTATTTGGTGTGTTTTTTTGCTGTCTTGCTTCCAATACTTGCCATGAATTTTCAATAATACCAGATTTGCAGCTCCATCTTCAACAGTTTTGCAGTGCTTTGCATCAGATGTGCCTTTTTTTAACAATTTCTCATAATCCAAGCAACTGTAAATATATCCTACTGAATGTACAGTAAGGTAGTGCAATTTTTGGTCTTAATTTCCAAAGTTTTTGTTTCAATTTAAGCCATTTTATTTTTCCAATTTCCTGCTGTACATGCGTCTGTATGTTCTGTCTGTTGCACCAGGCTGCCAAAGAAGTTGTCTTTTTAGCATTTTTAGTTCCTGTGGAAATAAGACAATAAATAATCATAGATACTTTCCTGCAGGTGACAAGTTTTTGTTCGTGTGTTTGTTGTTTTTTTTCCTTTGTCTTTCTGAGATAATTCAGAAGAAAACTTCTTTTTCCCTAAATTGGAGCAGTTTTAAAGGTGCAAATCCTTTATACCTTCTTTATTGCAGCGCTGCTGCCCAGAACCTAGTAAACGGATTCCTTCCTGGAGCGGCCGCCCCATCTGGATGGAGAAGATGGTGCTTTGCAGGGTGAAGGTCCCCCACACCTTTGCTGTCCATTCGTACACTCGTCCGACCATATGCCAGTATTGCAAACGGCTGCTCAAGGGCCTCTTCCGCCAGGGAATGCAGTGTAAAGGTAACATTTAGTTTTCTGTTCAGCCTGGAGAAGCAAGGATTGAGAGGGGATTTTATCAATGTGTGGAAGTATCTAAAGGGAATGTATAAAGATGATGTAGCTAGACTCTCCTCAGTGAGTCTCCCCAGTTCACTTCCCTGCAGGTGAGTGGCAGTACATGAAAATGGTGTGGGTGCATAGAAGAGGAGCCTAGAGAAGTATTAATTGCATACACAGGAGATCAAACATAAGTATATTAACAGACCTTTGTTTTTGTAGTATGAACCTGTCTGTTTTTAATAAACCAGGAACTGAATATCAGGCTATGTATGGGCGAAAGCGGTGTGAGAGCGTTCATCATGCTTCCCCCAGCTTTCTTGTGCATATTTCCAAACCTTGGGCTCTTTCAGCTGCCCTGTGTTCCTCTGCATTTGAAGAACCTTGTAAGAAGCTTCACCCAGGCTTCTGCTTGGACTCTGAGTTGATCTCTGAGATGCTAAGGCTGTATTTATAATAAAAAGTTAAATGTGTCCAGGAACATTCCTGAACGCTGAAGTCAAAAGAGACAAAATTGTCTGTGCTCATGCAGAGACTTTCTTAGCCTCCCAACCTGAGTGGCTGTAGGCAAACTACCTGATGGGCACTTTTCTATGGGATGCTCTGATTCTGTGGGTTGTTTTGCACTGTGATAGTGCTGTGGGCTAAGGGAATGTTTTTAGTTTGCCAGAATATCCTTAGTGCTGTAGTTCTGTATACAGTAGATCCTACCAGCCCTCTGGTAGGATATGAAATATCTGTTTCTTCCACAGCCCTTCAAAGCAGCAAAGTAACCATATTCCATAATTTGGATGGAAAACAACACTGTGGACAGACTATCGTTATTTTAGGATGCTTATTTTTAGGCACTAAGAAGCTGAACAGAACTGCACTTGACTCCAGGACTTGGCTACTCTGCTGCTGCAAAGGGAGCAGATAGTGACTTCTCTTTTATTTGGGCTTAAAGGCACAATGAACTTTCTTTGAAGGGTAAAAAGTAGAAAGGAGGGTAAACTATCAGTTGAAACACAGTTGCAGGGACACTAGAATTTTGAATTTATGATGCTCATATAGAGCTGAAAAGTACAGCGGTGCTGCTGTTAAAGGATATAGCACTCCGTGCTAAACTTACTAAGTACTGTGTGCTGGACTTACTCAGTGGGCTGCATCTGATGCCTTGAATGCAGAAGTGGTGCATATCCAAGTTAATTCCGTCTCCATGTCAAGCTGGAGCTCATTGTGTGTTATTCTATCTGCTTTTTGTCCAAGGAAATGCAGACAGACAGGAATGGAGCTGCTCTTTAGCCAAGACTACAGCTTGAAGAATCAGGGAGCTTGACTTTGGGTTTTACTGTAGGGTTTTATATTTGTTCCGTTTGTGAACCTAGTGGTTCTGATGGCTGCAAGTTTTAGGCATCAGAAGGTGAAAAATGATAGAAATGAAATGAGATGTTCAGACCAGATAGAGGTGGGGGGGCGGGGGGAAGGTGTGGAACAGAGGATGGAATAAATAACAGCATAATGGAAAAAATAGTAATGGACAAAGCTAGAGAAATAGAAAGTGTTCTGTACTGGGAAGGGAGGTGCTGACATAATAAATCTGAAACATGACATCAAGACAAGACTGTAGATTTCCTTCTGGAGGGGATATCACTGATGCTGTCCTAAGTTATACAGCCAGTTGTACGTTTGGACAGGAGCATGTGATGGAAGTACTAAATGGTAGATATTAATGTCTGCTTTAGAATGAGTCAAATTATGTTACCATGTTACCATATTATTATGTTACCATATTACCATATTATTATGTTACCATATTACCACTCATTTATTTTCTGTTTTAGATTGCAGATTCAATTGTCATAAACGTTGTGCATCTAAAGTGCCTAAAGACTGTCTTGGGGAGGTGGTTTTCAATGGAGGTAAGGTGGAAAACATACTTTCAAATACTGACAAATCTCTGGAGGCTTAACAAGATGCATCAACTTTTGATTCCTTCATCTTTAAGACTTTTGTTTTAATTCTCTTCTTCCCTGAGAGCACTGAGATTGAATAAAACTTGCATATTCTGGTGACTTGAAATTTATTTAATCAGTCTTTGCAAATACAGTATTCTTTGCTTGAGATTGCTCATGGGAAATTAAAAATTGATAAGAATGTGTTCACCATGAAATATATATTTTTAAATTATTATATTTTTAAATTGTAGTATCTGAAGACAAGCACTATGACACTCTCATATCCATGCTTTTTAGTGGCCAGAGACAGCATATCTGTCTCTAAAAAGTAGGTTGTTTTTGTTTGTTTCTTTCTTTAACTTTTTGAAATCTTAATTAAGACTTTGAGGACTGAAAGAAGTAAGTAGGGAACAGTGTGTGAAAGACAGTTTCAGGTTTCATTCTTCTAGATTTCAGACCAGTATTGCCCCAAATCTTGATCCTTGTCACGCATATTTGCTTTTTTGGGGAATAAAACTGGTGGCATTCAGCAGATCACACTGAACTGTGCAGCCTGGACCAGAGGCCAGGGCAGAAGCCCTGTTAGCCTCTACATCTGGGGGGGGGAAAAAAAAAAAAAAGAAAAAGTTTGTTGCTGATGGTGGTTCCTTTTCACTCTTCTTATGGAGCTGGTGCTAAGGCTTGTAATTGGGGAACTGCTGTTCAAGATTGTTCTTTCTCTGATGGCCGTAAGGATGGGAAGAAGAACATAGCAAGCAAACAAAAACCCCCAAAAGCTGCAAGTGAAAACTATTTGTATCTTTTGATTTTTAATTTTCTACAATGCAAATTGCACAGCTTTTGGTAACTTTGAACTTGAATCAATAGTGGTAGGTGCAAATGAGGTCTGTTCTGCTCTTTTTTTCCCTCTTGCAGTACCTCCAGACTCCACTTTTTTATATAAGAATTACTAGTATTACTATGGGCTACAAGGGCAGTGAGAGCAAAGTTAGGTTTCTGTTGGTAAAAAGTTCTATTTGCACAGAAATAACTTTCCTTGGGGCTTGGGTCATTGCTAGCTATTAAAAGGTCCCTTTGTACTTCTCGTTTGTGGAGGAGAATTACATTGTGAGATGTGGATTTAGACTTGCTTCCTTATCCGTTTGGATAATGTCATTAGTTTAGTTTCCATCATTAATTTAAAAGTTGCAGTTTTTGTATATTCTTGCTCTACTATTATATTTACTTGCGTAAGTATGGATTGGAGAGGAAATGTTGCTTTTGAGTGTGTTTGTGGATGCGTACATTGAAATAATGTCCAACTGCTGTGCTGTTTCTAGAGCCTGCCAGCCCAGGCCAGGATCTGGATATGCCAATGGAAGTGGATAGCAGTGAAATGAACAGCGATGGTAGCCGGAGTCTGGATGATGTTGAAGAGCCTTCCCCTCCAGAAGACAAAATGTTTTTTATGGACCCATCTGACCTTGATGCAGACAAAGATGAAGAAGCTGTCAAAACTATCAGGTAAATTACAGTGTGGCTTTGTGCTCTGGACATGCTTTCTTCAGTCTTGAGAAATCAAGCATTGAGTAAAATATTCCTAGATAGCACAATCTTTCTGCTTAATATATTTATTTGTTTAACTTGCATGCTTTTAAAGCTTATTCTGTCCCAGACAAATCTGAAATAGAAATGAAATAATATAGTTTCTTCTAATGGTTAAAAAAAAAAAAAGTACTGTGCTATGACTTATCAAAGAAAGAGAACCTGATTATCAAAGCATGTTGAAGTTAATGGCTTAGCTTAGTAGTGCTGTGACTAAGATATCTGTAAATTACACCTACACAAACATGTGGTGATATAAAACAAATTACCCAAGATTTAAATGCTTTGATATTCACATGGTAGCTTACATGCCCCTTGGGCAGCAGTTTGTTTAACTTGAATGTGCTTTTTTTATGTTTTGCATCAGATAACTGTTATGTGGTTTCTTTAATCAAATGTGATCTCTTTACTTTCTGTATTATTATTATTATTAGTAGTAGTAGTAGTAGTTTCATCCCTTTTTTTTCTAAATTAATATTAAAAATGTAAGAAGAGCTATACTAGGTCAAACCAAAGTCATTTTAGCTCCATGGCTAATAGCAAATGTGTAAGGATAGAGTGCATAGCAACCCCCCTTCCACAGCTTTTTGATCTATAGCTCGGGGACTTCCTGAGTTGGAAGTAGTATCTTCTTTGTGTTCAAACTCTCGATAGTATTTTTCCTTAATTTCTGATTGTTTCTGAACCTATTACAATTCTTAGTGTGCACAGCATCCTGTGACAGCAAATTCAATGGCATAATTACAGTTTCTGTTAAAGCATCTTCACGTTTTGTTTCTTGATTCTGCCTCGTGACTTCATGTGGTTACAAACCTGTGTGCCAGCAGCCCGTTTTGGAGTTGTGGTGTAAGCAGCCAGTTTGAGTGCATCAGGATGTCAAAGACTGTGGAGTCTTGTCTGCATGGCCATTGATATCACTGAACATTGATAAATTATCTAGTGCAGATGTAACTTGAGTTAACACATAAATACTTTTCTCGATTTTTGTAAGTAGAAAGTACACTTAAGCACCTTTAGTGCAACAACAATGTTATGAAATAGCATAATTGGCAACATAGACAAGAGGAAGTAATAACGATACAGATGTTAATCACAGTTTAGTGTTGCATTGAGACCGAAGTGTGCAGTTAGCTGTCCTGAGAGAGGATGACTTCTGCTGGTGTCTTCTTTCTGGTGCTTTTTGTTACTCGTGTTGCTGCAGCACTAGCACTGCAGTGCTTGCAGTAGGAGAGCTAGTCCTAGTGCACATGCCTTGTGCTCTTGAGAACTTGTTGCAACCACTGATGGTGATGCCTTCACGTAGAAATGGGCCGCTTTTGCCAAAGGAATCATTTGTGTGGGAAGGAAGATCCTTGTCCCGGAAAATTACGGGCTGCGTGAATAGAGTCCGTATTCTAGGGATGAGGTCTCCAGTACTGCTGTGTTTTAAATTGTTAGCATTCTTTCTTTCAGTCCTTCAACAAGCAATATTCCACTTATGAGGGTTGTGCAGTCCATCAAACACACAAAGAGGAAGAGCAGTACAATGGTGAAGGAAGGATGGATGGTCCACTATACTAGCAGAGACAATCTGGTCAGTGCTTTTGGTTTCTTCATACACTACCTTAAATTATTTATCTAAACTGGCATATTTTGTTTCTTACATAGTCCTCTTTACAGTATCATTTGAAAGTACTTAACCATGATATTCTTTTTGAAGCGTAAAGAAAATCTGTTGCAAAGGAGAAATTATAATTTCTTCAAAATTCTTCCTGTGATGACTCAACAGTACTTTTAGTTTTCACTTTTTTAAAAGGAGAAGCACTTCTAAATTCTCAAATGAACGGTATGTTTAAGGCCCAAGATAAACATGAAAATAAATTGTTTGTTTATGTGTCTTTCTGCCTAAAAGACACTTTTTATCATCTTTTAGCTATAGGAAAAACATGACCAGGTGGTAGACAGAAGAACGGTGCCAGCAGTATTTAGGGCAGACCTAGTGTTTGGCTTTCAACATAGTCTTTCAATGCAGCCATTACATTTTTCCTTGGACTCTTTTGGACGCTCTCACAGAACAGTGATCTTTTTTTCCCTTTTCTTTTTTTCTTCCATCTGTCTGAATATTTCATACATGACATCTATTAAAAGGCTGCCCAAATAAAGTATTTTGTTCCAGAGCAAGAAATCTTCAGCCAAGCAAACTCTGAAATCTAATGGGAGGGAGCTTCTGTATTGGGCGTTACAGTATCAGCCATTTCCCATGATGATTCTGTTCTCTGCAACATGGGGCTATTTCATGTTCCTAAAACAACTCGGGATTGCCATCAGTTTCATAGGGGTTCATTTTTGCAGCGACATCTGTACACTGCCTGCTGACTCTGCATAATAGAGTATTTCACTATTTGTATTTTTTTCTCATTGTAATGTTTTTTCTCCCTTCTTGTCTGTATTTTTATTTTTCTACATTCCAAGACCTTTCTTTTTTCTAATAGTATATTAACAATTTGAATCCGTAAGTACCTGTCACCTGTTCCTTAGCCATCTCCTCACAAAGAGTCTTCCATGATTTATAATTTAATAAATATAAGTCCAAAAGAGAGGTGCACCTGTATGCCATGACCCAGTTTCTACTTAGCCCTGGTATAGAATTCCATCTAGTTAGATTCATTCATCTGCTAGATTCCTTTGACTGCCTTATGGGATAATCTTTACATTCCCATGTCTGACTCCGTGTAGTATAATAAGGGCATTTCTAAATTTTCTTAAGCTAGAGATAGGGGTCATTGATTTTTTTCCATCAGAAAAAAAGAAAGTGAATGTCAAACTATAAGAGCACAGGACAAGCAAAGTAAGTTAGATCTATACAGACATACTAGCTTTCTAAAAGTCTTACTTATTTTAGGAAAGGTTTTGTGCCCAGAATATAAGATAGTTATGTGCAGCAACTTTTTTTTTGTTTGTTTGAGATGATGTTACTTATTGGTGCAGCCTTCCATAAATTGAATACTTGCTGTATGTTGTGACTTCTCACCCCAGCCCCAAGATATTTTGTCCTTTTGAATCTTACAATCCATCGTTCTTTTCTGCCACTTACGACCTTTTTGTGTTGAGAAAAGAATTAAGGACTTGTTCAACTTACTTAGTCCTACAACCCTTGTAGACATTGTTTTGGGGGCAAGAGAAAGCAAGTGCAAGTCCCACAATCATTATTAAGTGAAAATAAATGGATATTTTGTGAGCACATACACCTTGAGTAAAACCTGTGCAGACTGTTACTTCTACGAATTAACAACTGTTGTCACTATAATTACTATAAGGTTAGTGGTTTTGTTGCATTTTTTTCTTGTTTTCAGGCTTATGGAAATAATTTTATAAGGCTCACCTTGAAGTTTAAAAACACCTAACAAAATCCTGTAATCCCCAAATATTTTTAAGTGCTCTATATCTACTGTATCTAGACAAAAATGTGATGTAGGTTAACATTATTTGATGATCTTAGTATTTCTCAATTCTCATTTAAAAATAATAATAATAATAATAAAGGATCTAGCAGTGATATATTCCTTATATATAGTTGTGCTGTATGTTTTGTAGAGAAAAAGACATTACTGGAGACTGGACAGCAAGTGCCTCACACTGTTTCAAAATGAATCTGGAACAAAATATTACAAGGTAATTAATAAGCAACAATTATGTTGTGCTTGATTTGCACAGAATGCTTAATAGACCTGAAATGTGCCTAGAAGTAGTATGATAAGTATTAGCTGCATTTCATTTCTGAAATCAAAACTGGGGCAAGTTAATTATTGGCCGAAGTTTATAAATATGAAAGACCAAGACTAAGTGTCAGAAATTGCATCTCCTCTTAATTACCTTAAGTCTGTCTCTCCTTGTGTTTTGTGTGTGCTGTTCTTCCGAATTGCTAGCATATTAAGTTTTCATCCCAATTACTAGATAAGTGTGCTGGCTAGGTGGCCAGCGTAGTTAAGTGTTGGAATTTTTGCCTTCTGTAAGCTGTGACTGAAAGTTTGCATGCTTATGTGTTTTATTTTAAAGTTTACAAAAAAAAAATTCTAGGCCTAGCAAGATCTAGAGAAAATGTATTTTGTGCCTGACATTATATAATAAATTCAGCACATTGTTAATAATGTGTTTGGAAGCGGAATATTCAGGAAATGGCTTCAAATATATAAACAAGATTTCTCCTTTTCTTGTCTTGCACCTTCAGGTGGGGGCCCAAATCTTGCAGCTTCTTCCTCTGTAACATCTCTCAGATCAAGCCTTTCCTCTGTACACCCAGTTAAACTCTTGTCCAGATCCTTCTGATCCCTATCTTGACCAATGCAGTCTTTTCTTCTCAGACCTCCCTGATAACTGTATTGCCCCGTGCATTCAAAATACAGCTGGTAAAATACCTTCCTTGCTTGTTACTCTGTCCTGCCACTGCTTTTAGCCCTTCCATCTTGCCCGCTCCTTCACTCCTTTTTTTTGTTTGTGTTTGTTTTTAATCTGAGGTTATTTGTTTATCAGGCTTAATCTCAGGTTGTTAGTCTTTACTGTTAGACTCGGTGGTTATATCTCTGTGTATGTGCTGTCTTTCTTAAGAAACTACTGTCTCTTACTCCCCGCCCTAATACCAGTGCGGTGTTCACCTGCTTGTTCACAGCTCTGGAAAGCGCTGTGCCTTTGCACACCTCCACACGTGTGGAATGGGCCTTCTCCAGCTGGTGTCAACTTAGCCATTTCTGCCTTCAGATCTGTTCTCTAACGCTGCTTGTACCTTGCAGTGACAAGGTAGTGACAAGGTAGAGAGGTTGATAGGAATTCATAATATCTATATGAAAGAGAATCTTTCTTGAAATGATATAGTCCTGTAAAGTGACGCTTGTTGACTAGCTCACCTAATCACATCCTTTTCGTAACGTTGTTGTTTCTTCTTCCCCCCTCCGCCACTGTCATGGTTGTATTTAGTTAAGCTGTGTAAGTTACAGGGGGGGCGTTTTATACATGTGCATCATTTGAATAAGCACAGTATGCATAGAGAGTAATAAATGTACAGAGCGCGCTGTGGTGGGGCTAGAAGTCTTTCTAGGAATGTATGGAGGAGTTTAGAAGGTTGGGGAGGTTAGTAGTTGTGTACAGTGTGTCATTAGTTACAAAGCTTGATATTTAATTTCTGATGTATTTGCTTTTGATTTCTTTACAAACATCTTAAGTTCAGAATATCAGTATATTGAAATATTATCTATGTTTTCATATTTTTTTTAATCTTTAATATTTTTCTTCAGGAGATTCCACTTTCAGAAATTCTCCAGGTGACTCAGCCTCGAGATTTTTCAAACATGGTGCAGGGCAGCAACCCATACTGTTTTGAGATCATCACTGACACGATGGTGTACTTTGTTGGAGAAAACAATGGCAGCAGCCATCACAGTCCTGTTCTTGCTGCCACCGGAGTTGGACTTGACGTAGCTCAGGGCTGGGAGAAAGCCATTCGCCAGGCTTTGATGCCAGTCACTCCTCAAGCTAGCGTTTGTACTGCTACAGGACAAGGAAAAGATCACAGTAAGCAGGCAGACAAGGCACTATTGTTCCTATTCTGAAGCTGTTGTTAATACAGATTCCATTTCAGCCAAATGGTTATATAGCAGATGTTTCTGTTCGCTGCTGAATTAGGGTCATAATTTTCTATAAGTTTCTAGAAATTGGCACTCAACTTTGTGGAGGATATATGGGGAAACCTTTTCATCTGTTGTAGCATTCAGCAGTAGCTGAGAATCAGTTTCAATACAAATGTATGTTACAAAGATTTATCATAGAAGTGTAAGAGCACGTTGTGACCTGATGTGTAAAAAACAAACAAAAAACCCCCATACTTTAAGTATTTTTTAACCTACTTTAAAAAATATATCTAATCTGAAAGAACTAGATTTGGATGCCTTCCGATATTATCTGCTATCATTCTTTCCAATCTGTGACATGTCTCTATAGCTAAGAAGGAAAGGAGCTAGTGATGAAATGTAAATGGTGCCAGTGGGAGGAAGAACTGCTGAGCTGCAAGTACTAGGAAAAAATACACTTTTCTTCCTCTGATGACCTCCCTTTCTTCCTCTAGCATAGAATCAGATTCATTATCAGCTACACTCTGTGGTCTCCTCAAGCAGCTCTTGAATTCCTCACGACAGCATTCATTTGCAGCCTGTCCTGAGGCTTGTGCTTCTCTTCTCTAGTTTCCTTTTCTCTTCCAGCTACTCCTTCATCCTCCTGTAGCTGTATGCCTGCTGGCAGGGTTAGTTTCTGTCTCTGATATCTGCTTGCTCTGGATGTATGGTAAAATCAGCAGCAGTTAAGAACAAATAGATGCTAATCTTAAGCACTTGCACATACAACCAGGGCCTGAAATGGAAAACAAACAAGTGTCTGTACTGGCATTTGCATTTAATTACAGGGGAAAAAGTTTACTTTAAAGGTTTACTTTAAAACAAGAGTCCCCAAGAGACTTGCAAAGATTTTTTTTTTTTTTTTCTGTAAAAATGAAGAAGACGATTGTGCAGGTCTAGTAAATAATCACATTTTTATTTTAGAACTTGAAAGTGATAGAGAATAGAGGGATACAGATGGGCAAGTATTTTGGTATGTCCAGGTTTGCAGGATCATAAAGAATTACTGTGAATTTTGGATGGTGTTTTCACCTTTTCTTAGACTAGTTTTACATGTTGTTTTTTAAATTCTGAAATGCTGACTAAGTATCTGTTCTTCCCCTCCTTCTTGCGCTCTGTGAGCCATGAAGTGTGTTTCCAAAACCATTCACTAACTTAAGACTTTTACTTTAAATAATCCAAAGCCTCAAATACTTCATTCTTAGAATAAAAAGAGGAGGAAAGGAGAAGGACATGACTAGTTCTGGAAATACTTCCAGCATCAGTGAATTTGTCAGGTGAAAATAACCAAAAGGCACTAGGCAGTCAATTAATGCCATGTTTTAGTAAGGGAAGCATCAAAAAAGTTAGTGTGCCCTTCCAGTCTGACCCAGGGGAAAAAAATCCTTCCTGACCCCTGTACCTGGCACTTTGGGTACCAAAATGTGTCATAGGATATTTCTGATCTGAGAGGTTGAAGGGGAGATTAAAGGCAGAGGAAACAAACAGTGGTTTATTACCTGATATAGATCTACACATTGAATGATAATGAATTCTGGCATTAAGTATACTGATTTCTTCAGATACATGAATACATGACAAAAATATATGACAAATTTTCAGTCATTATTCTTACATATTTCAGACACTAAGAAAAATCAGCTTATTTGGAGGGAGTAACTCAGCCTCTACCTAGAGTAAGACAACAGGTATTTTCTGCTCTCCAGACATCCATGGACAAGGTTTCAATGTGTTCTCTTAAGCAGTTCCAGAAGCTATGATGTTTTCATTTTCTACTTAATTTATTTCAGTATTGCTGCAGTTTGTCATATATGTGTTGTCCTTAGTAATTTTGTATGCTTTTTTGCTTATTTTTCCATATATCTATGTCCTGTGCTCTTACTGCAGTGCGAACTTGGCTATTCTAGAGGAGAGAACAATAATCAGTAGATACATGGATAGCTGTAATTCCAATTTATATTTCGGATGCAGTGTTCAGAGAAACTTAATTTTTGAGAAATAGTATTAGTGACTATAAGTCACTTTTTTTTGACTTAAAGTGCAGGTGCCAAAAATCAGATACAGGCATTTTCTTCATTCTCTGACAATTTCTAGAGTAAAAAGTCCCAACTTAGGTGATAAAGGCTCTTTCCAGAGTGCTAATAAATCTGTAGTATATTCTGTATTTACATTATATGCAAATTTCTCCTCTGTTTTCCAAGAGTTACCATAGCAAACTTGAAGTGTCTGCTTGTCTGAGAAGCCTGACCTTTCACTTGAAGTCAAAAGAAAAGGAATGTTTTTGACTCGATGCGTCTCTCTCTCTGTGCATCTCCATGTTATTGCTGTGATGAAACTGCATGTCTACATCTGCTGCCTGCTGAGAAGTTCTTTACTGCATCAGATACTTTTAATTGCACAGTATCAGATGACACCTCTTAAATATGCTTTTAAATTCCGGAGATTGATATGAGTCTATAGTTTATTCATGAAATTAAGATTGTTTAAATGGTGTATGTGTGTTTAGATTTTCAGGTCTTCTGTTGTTTGCTTTGCCTGAGTGCTTCCTTCTCTTTACTTATCTTTGTGCATTATTTATGTATATCCTGATGCCGCAGAAAGTTAGTAACCATGTTTGAATATAAATGATCTACTAATCCTATTACCTGTATTTTTCTGAAAGTACCAGAAATTCTTGGTAGTTCAAGGAACTATGATACAACTACCAGCTTGTTATTGCTTTTGGTCTCCAGCTCTTTACAGTGTACACACTTGTAATGCTTTACTGTTTATGTAATTGGGGATGGGATTAAAAATGGACAAATATTTCCAGCACCCTCCCCCCAAACAGATATCTAATCAATCTGTGAATTTTGAGTTCAAGATGTTTCTGCAGAACATCAGTGATAATCCTTTTACTGTGACCAAGTTATAAGTCAGTAAAGATGTTAGTTCTTTCTTAAAGTCAAAGGCTGCACATCTTTTTCCCTTATTGCCTTATTTTCTTTTCAATTGCAGAGGAGTTATCCCTCAGCATCTCTGTTTCAAACTGCCAAGTCCAGGAGAATGTGGTGAGTCGTATACATCATATACCAATATCGTTTATTTGTCAGGGTACTCCAAAGTAATTTATAGTATCTCAGGGCGAACGCAACACCAGGGTATACTGTAGCTAAAGAGTGCTTTGTGATAAATTGAACTGGAGTGCTCCTCACTCAGCAAGCTCTTGATTTATATGAGTGCATGTTCTTGCATGCAGTGCAGCTAAGCAGAACCTCTTCAGGAGATTTCTTCCCTCCTCCCCACTGTAATGACGACTTCCTTTGTCTGGTTTGATTAACATATAATTTTAATACAGCTTAGCTAGTAATAACCAATACGCTTATGAACATTTTGATTATTCCTGATTTTTTTAAATGATTTATTTTATTTTCTTTTTACATGCATTAGGATATCAGCTCTGTGTACCAGATATTTGCTGACGAAGTTCTGGGTTCTGGTCAGTTTGGCATTGTCTATGGAGGTAAATTATAGCAGATTCCATAATATATATAGTTAAGGAGGACGGTGTGTTTATTTGATATCATTACCCTTTTCATATTTGTTTAGCTAAATCTAGGCTGTGTAGATAAAGTTTATCCGACCAAAAAAAAGAAAAAAAAAAAAAAAAACAAGAACAAATAGAATTATTCTGATTTAGTCTCTTACTTCTTTCTTACAATTCATTTTATATGTTTGAGGTTATGCCTTAACATCAAAAACAGTTTAGAGAGTATGTCATATTTTGATCTCAGTTAAAAGCAATGAAATCTCTAATTTGAATTCAGGCCTTGGTTAGTGGTTTTGATTTATTATTGCAAATTCTAATTCTGTTTCTTATACACTATAAGAAATTATTTGTTTAAAAAGGCTATTAGTTATACCTTTTTTAACTGATATCTGTGAAATGCAACTGAAATCAGTAAGAAGATAACTTTTTTTTTTCTGGGTTGTGCTTTGACACTAACAAGAGTTTGTTTTGTGCAAACGTGTTTCACTGCAAATTCCTTGCAGCAGAAGAATAAATTTATTTTTGACAAAGTGTCAGTTTGATGTTTCGGATGTAGCTTTATCACCTCTTTATATAAAAGCTTATGTTAGAAATTCTTTGTAAGTTATGAACAAAATAAAAACTGTAAACATAATATCTGAACTAGGTCACTGTCCTTTTCATCCCATATATTCTATGCAAAGTGTAGAGAAGACTGTAAAGCTGGAAAGGAAGAAAAAAAATGGTAATTAATGGGTTAAGTGTGGGAGCCTTTCTACTTCTGTCCTGTTGTCTTTCTAGTTAGAAAAGAGTGTGGTTTTGATTCTTCTGTGTGTTAATTGTGCAGTTAAATAGTCTGTTACTTCAGAGAATTTGGATGGTCTGGTTTACATCACTCTGGAGAGGTTGTGTTCCCTTCCACATCCCAAGCTGGAAGAGAAAAAAAAATAAAATTAATCAGATTCTTTTACTTGTCCCTGCACATTGCTGAGCTGTTGCTGGTGTTTGGGAGACTAGATCTGCTAGTTTATAATACTCTGTTCTCAGCTCTTTAGGCTTATTGAAATAATAACAACAAACCCTTTTCTTTGAAGAAATAAGATAAAATTAGGATGCTTCTTTTGCTGCGTCCCTATACTTTACAGAAAGCATTTTAATTATTACAATATCTGACCCCTTTCTTTTCTCCTATATTCTAAAATTCTGTACAAAACTCCACCTTTTACAAGTTGAAAATCAATAACTAAAAGATAATGACATCCAGTTTCTGTTTTTTTTTTCAGTAAGAGCTCTTTCCCTCCCCACACCCTTTTTTTTTTTTTTTTGTTTCATTTTTTTCTGATTAGTTTTGAAGGGTCTGAAAAATGTGGAGGGATAAAAAGAAATTTTTGGCACTTTCTTGCTGATGTAAACTTGTCACTAACCATTGTACCATTGTAGTGCTTTGCATAGGGAAAGGATTTCTGTTACTCTTTAGTCATTTTTAGTTTTAGCTCTAGTCTAGTTGCTATAGTAAGTACTCTGTTGGTTTTGTATTTTAGATCTCTTGAAACCCAGTATTTATCTTCTGCGTTTTGCATCTGGTTCCTAATGATATTTCTGCTACATTTTGTTAGATTTTTTTTTTTATTTTGAAATCACAATTGCACTCCTGGAATTTGTAGATTTTTAAATCATACTAGCTGTAAATATCAATGATTTCCAATATTATTCCTAAAAATTGCTGATTTATTTTTACAAGATACAGAATGACAAAACTCCCTAGATGAATCTGCCTTCACAGATTCTAGTTTCATGCTGCTTCATGTAACACCCCGCTGTGTAGTTTAATCCCTGTATTCGAACTAATGTAAATTTCTTCTAGCAGTTTTTTGCTCTTTAGTCGCTAAGTCTATTTGGCAGCCTCGTTAGACCCCTTGGGAACTGAGTCCTCTCTCAATCGACCGCATCTTCTCCAGTGGAGATGAACCTGGTTTGGGCCCCTTATTCCTGACGTTCTTTAGGGCAGGTCCATTGCCTGCTCCATGGAGCAGCCCATGGGAGCAATTCCCGTGTCCTGGTGCAGAGCAGCGGGTGAGGCCAGGCTGGCAGCTCCGCTCCCCAGAGCCCTGCCTGCCTGGGACGCTGGAACCACCTGCCTTGGAGCCCTGTGTGGGATTCCTCTTCCTACAGGAGCTTCCCATAGCTTTGTGTCTTTGAACAGATACTTTCTGCTTTTTTTTTTTTTTTTGATATTAGTTTGTTTTAGATTAGTATTAGTTTTGTAGATTGTCAAGGTCTTTCAGTATGTGATCCTGTTAATCTTCCTGATTTGCACGTGAAAGAAAACAGCTTAGCACTTGCTGGGAGCGTCTGTAAGGAGTCACAGCTGGTCCTTTAGCTCTTGAAATCTCCTTGTGTTGCAGAATATTTCTCGGTCAGCTGCTGCAAGCTGCAGCAAGAAATATTTGGCATAATCAGCACTTTCACCTTAGCCTAGGCCTTTAGAGCTTTCTGAGAGCAATAGTCTGCCTTCTGGGAGTTAATCTTTTCCTCTTCGGGGCACTGAGCTACCCCACATTCTCACAGAGCATTAGATATTGCCACCTGTGCACACGGAGCCCATGAAAGCGTTTGCTGAAACAACTGGAGAGAACTTTGTACATTTTGTTCACATTGGTCCTGATTTTTTTTTTTTTTTTTTTTTGTAATATCAGAGACAAGATTGTGGAAGTTTCAGTAACACTTGTCAATTTGCAGGGCACTTGTGCGAGGGAAAACATCACTTGAAAGCTTGTTCCTATGGGCAATGTGCGGCCTGACAGCAGAGCAGTAGCTGATTTAAACTTACCTACGGCCTTCCTGTTCAGGCAGATCACTTCTTGTTACTCATTTACCAGTTGTAAATTTAAATATAAATATTGATATGTTCTGCACTTCCACAAAATACACTTGTTTCCTCCAAAAGGAGGTATACTCTGCTGGTATATTTTGTAGCTATGAATTGCTTCTACTTCTTGATGTCTGACGTTAATTTCCTTTTTAGGAAAACACAGGAAGTCTGGAAGGGATGTGGCTATCAAAGTCATTGACAAGATGAGGTTTCCAACCAAACAGGAAAGTCAGCTTCGTAATGAAGTGGCTATTCTCCAGGTATAGAAATATTTCTAGATCACATTGCAGCTTCTGAAATAAGTCACTAATAAGATTATTTTTAATGTGTGTAAATGCTCTGAATTGGTTTCTAAATCTGTGTGAGACCTCTGAATCTTTCTGTAAAAGAGAATCTTACGAGTGTGGGAATTTCTTAATATTTGATGGAGTAGGTAAGCAGGTGGTAGCATCTCCTCCCTGTAGAGGAGTTGCATCTCCTTTGGTTCTGTGATGTCTCCCCTAGGTAGCAGAAAAATGTGTATGACTTTTGATTGTCTCATCACCACTCCTGGCCCACTGATTCATGGATGTTATTCTTGTGTTCTGTACTCAAGCTGCTGAGTGTTTTAACTGTAAAATTGCTTTGTATAATTACTGTCAAACGAATTAGTCTTAATGCTGATAACCGGCATGTTTCAAATACCTTTTTCCTTCAGGTACTTTGTTTTTCATCTCTAACTCTCTCCTTAAGTGCATATATGGTTCATTAATGGTTCAAAATACCCGCATAATTCAGAATATAACTTGATGCTTCAACTTTCCTGATGTCCTTGTACCGCTTGATTTTAGAATTTGCACCACCCTGGGATTGTAAACCTGGAATGTATGTTTGAAACGCCGGAGCGGGTCTTTGTTGTGATGGAGAAGCTGCACGGGGATATGCTGGAGATGATCCTCTCCAGCGAGAAAAGTCGGCTGCCGGAGCGTATAACGAAGTTCATGGTCACACAGGTCGGTGCTCGGGCCATCTGTCTCCAGAGGATAGAGTGGACTTGGCTTCCAGTGTTATTTGGGAGGGGGGTCAGGGGAAGGGGCTTCCAGTACAGTTGTTTTGGAGGGACAGCACAGGTGCTGCCAAGCTAGTGGAAGCTGAATAAAAACAGAAAGAATTCTCTATTTATTCGATTCTGAATTTTGCCATTCTTCCCCAAAATATAAAACTACAGACATCCAGTGATGCTCTTCAGAAAGCTTAATGTTTCCCAACATATGATCTTCAGCTTAAAAAGGAAGATAAAAACTGTCAGTTCCAAATCTTGATACGGCAGCAAGAATATTATTTGTGCTGTTTAACCATTTTAACTCTTTAAAGACTGCAGATAAAATTATTGTACTACTTGGTGTGTGGCTTTTGATATTTAAGGCATTTTCAGTCAGCTGACTGGTTTTGGAAATGTTCCGTTTTTTTTTTTTTTTTGTAGATACTTGTTGCTCTGAGGAATTTACATTTCAAGAATATTGTGCACTGTGATTTAAAACCGGAAAATGTACTACTAGCATCAGCAGAGCCATTCCCTCAAGTGAGTGAAAATTAAAAAAACAAAAACCTTTTCATTGTTCTTTGTTAAGGAAATACAGCCACTGCAACTTAAAAAGGGATCCATAGTTAACTGATTTAGTCTGCAATTACTTGAGGTAGTGCTTCAAGGAAATACTTCCAATCCCACGAGGTTCATGTTATGTGGATGGATTCAGTAACGCCACCCGGATGCCCTTGGTGCTGCTTTCCCCTGTACCCTGGGAGGAGGGTTTGTTAACTTGGGTTTGGTGATGGACTTGATGTGGACCTTGTATCTGTGCAAGACCTTGTCTGCTGTCTTCAAGATAAGACGCTTTCCCAGAACCAGGAAGATTTGAGCGTTGGTGCAGGCCACAACTGTTCATACTGCTCCTCTGCCCAGGGGTAGCTGGGTTTGAGCTCTAGCAAAAAAATCAGCCTGCGATTTCTGCTTAGATTTCCCTGGAAATATGATGAAATATGATTAAGAGGCATGTGAGCGGGCTGGGTTTCATGCACATTTCTCACTCGGATTCTGTGTTGTGTGAAGCTGCTGAGTCTGGAGCAGAGTTTATTTTTGCTTGCTCAGTCGTGGCTGTGTGAAGGCCAGTTCACATCTCCTCCTTGAGCGTGGCTCATCCACAGCCTCATAGGCCAGTCACTTGAGGCTTTAAATTGCGGTTTATTTAGTGCACCCCAGATGCAACTAGTGGCAGAAACGGGATCTAGGAGCCCCCTGGTCTTGGGCAGCTGTGTGCTTGAGACATGAACCAGAGATTTCTCAGTTTCAAATGTGCTTCTGTTGCAGGTGAAGCTCTGTGATTTTGGCTTTGCTCGTATCATTGGTGAGAAGTCGTTCAGGCGCTCGGTGGTGGGGACCCCCGCTTACCTCGCCCCGGAGGTGCTCAGGAGCAAAGGCTACAACCGCTCCCTAGACATGTGGTCGGTGGGAGTTATTGTCTATGTGAGCCTCAGTGGCACCTTCCCCTTCAACGAAGACGAGGATATAAATGATCAGATTCAAAATGCAGCATTTATGTACCCGCCAAATCCCTGGAAGGAAATCTCTAGTGAAGGTAAAGAAATATATATATATTTTTTTCCTATTACTGTGTCTTTATCTGCATATAACTGAACCACAAGTTTGACTTAACAGCATGAAAATTATTGGTAGTTGGGTTGCTGCAGACCGTGCCCACAGAAGTAAATACCTGCTAACTTGTTTGTGAAACAGAAATTGGCAGTTCTGGTATTTTGGATCATTTTCAGTGGGAGAGTCGAGAGATTTAGTAAGAAAAGTTGGTGTAAAAACTGTATTTACCCCAGTCCTTACACTTGCAATTTTCTGTCACAGTAAACAGCAGGCTTAGCTCATTCTTCCAAAAATCCCAATGCAAAATTAGCTCTTGCATGAATATTTGCTGATCTCTTAAAATGTGTTTGATTCAAACTCAAATATAATTAGAACATTGGATTCAAAATTGGATGCAGAAGTTGATTTGGTACCTTAAGCAAAGCTAAACTCACTTGTCAGATTTTAATGTCCCAGAAGTTTTATAAAGTTAACTGTTAAAACTCTTGCTTACAATGTGTATATGATTAATACAGAGATGCATGTGGAAGAATGCACACAAAATGGTGAAATCATCTACATGGTTTTGGATCACAGAATTATGCTCTGGTTGTTTATGTACTTCTGAAAATAGCTAAAATGAATAGGACAAAGAAAAAAAAAGTAGTAAAATAGTAAAGCTCTCATTGTTTCATTTAAGAAAAACAAAACAAAAACTTACCTCATACCTGTTCTTTAACCTTACTTAACCTGAGTAAATATATTTTATATCAAATGTATAAGAGCTTGATTCAGATTATTATACATACATGTATTTTAATAATCTTTCACTGCTGTACATGAGTGATTGTACAGGTGAATGGTATTTAAAGTAATTTACCTGTTCTGTTTCTTTGGCAGCTATTGATTTAATAAATAATTTGCTTCAAGTGAAGATGAGAAAACGTTTCAGTGTTGACAAGTCTCTTAGTCACCCCTGGTTACAGGTAAAACCACCTGCCTTCTTTTTAGTTAAGTTTATAAAATTTATGTTTTGTGTGGATGAAAAAATATTTTTGGGATGAAATCCTTTAGGCTGATACAAAGCCGTCTGAGAATGGTTTGAACATTTCTGTTGAATATTTTTAAGATTTTATGCATTCAGGGATTGTGCCCATCTCTTTAATGGCTGGTTCACTTGGATGAAATTTTGTCTGCTCTCACCATTACTTTTCTCATTTCCTGCCTGTCACTGCCCTGATGTTTTCCCCACTGCTTCCTGTGTGCTGGCAGTGATGGGTGCCTGGAGCTCCACTGAAATGCATTTCGGTGCACAAGTGTGTGCTACAGCTTGCAGTTGTTTTAGGAGACTGTGGTTTGAAATAGGATTTATTTTTGTGGTTGGACTTGATTCTTTTCACAGTAGTCTCATAATACTCTGTGTGTGTGTATACACACATAAATAAATTGGAAGACACTGAGAGTAAAATACGAATTGAATATGAACATTGCAGTATTTCATGTATGTACATATAATGTACATATTTAAATTGGTAGTATAGCTTAGATATGTCTAGAAGAATGTTCATAAATGTTACCAGCAGTGTCTTAGATGCTGGCCTCTTTCTTTTTGAGCTGTTCTGCATGCACATGCTTGGTTTGACTTTGGAACACACACTGCTGTATTTCCTGGTTATTTATATTAAAAGTAGCCACTGCTTAATTTCTCCTTGGGAACGCTGTGCTGCTGTTTCTTAAACTGCCGTGTTGAACCTTGCTCACTGCTTAGGATTATCAGACTTGGCTTGACCTCAGAGAATTCGAGACGCGCATCGGGGAGCGCTACATCACGCACGAGAGCGACGACGCGCGCTGGAAGGAGCACGCGTGCGAGCACAACCTCGAGTACCCCCAGCACTTCATCATGGCTCCCAACCCAGACGACATGGAGGAAGACCCTTGAGTCGCTCCTTACGCTGAACTGCAGCAGAGAAGGGCACTCGGACAAACTGGAGATGAGTTTTGGAGCGACTGTTGCTCTCCGAGCGCTGCTCACTTAGTGTACAGAACTGCACAGAAACTGCAGGGGGAGAGGCTGTCGTCTGGCAAGCGCTGCTCCGTCTCGGACTGAGCTACGAGTAGCCGCTGGCAGCGGGATGGCCCTGCTGGATAACGTGTCACCAGGCTGCGTGGCCACAAGCTGGCGCTGAGGTGGGATGTGCACAGACTGATGCTTTGTGTGAGTTTTTCAATTTTTTTTTGTAGTTTATGCAATAAGAATTTTGTAACAGTTTCCTAATCCCTACGTATTAGGCCATAGAGAACTGTTTTCTGTTATTTAGATACATCTCCCATTTACTAGATTGTGCATCGTGGAAAGAGACTGTACAAGGAAATGAGTGTGGAACCCCTTGGCTGATAGCAAAGCATGGTGGCTTAGGACTGAACACGGCTTCACAGACGAAGGAATAATTTGCTGCTGTTGAGACAGTTGAATGCATCTGTCTTTGCCCTAGCTGAACTTTTTTCCCAGGTACCTGAAGAAAGAAAACCCCTTTACTACTTACATTCCTCTAAAAGAGCTGGCTGACAATCTAAGGAGATGACAATCAAAGCAATGCTAGTCCTTTCTTCTGCCTCTTAGAGCAGAGCAATCGCCCGTGATACAACATGCTGCTGTGCAGGGTGGCACTTGTCCAGGCCACAGGCGTTTTGCCTTAAAAGCATTCCCGTGGCGCACAGGGAGCAGATGCTGCCCATCCTGCAGCCTGAAGAAGTTGCTCCAAGCTAAAGGAGGTGGGAGGGGAAAAAAGGGAAGCCAGAGGGGATTATACATGACTTTCTCCAGTTGTTTTGAATACTTAACTTTTGATTTTTAGAAGAGTTTTTAAAGGTTTCCTGGTCTGGTATGTCGAGAGCAGTTTGTATCCTGCTCCTGTCTTTGCTCCGGAGCTCTGAGTTGCTGATGCATCAGCAGCTGGGCAGGGGGAGGCAGGGCCTTTGCCTCCCCCCTTAACCCGCAGCCCCTCCTGGCCTCTCTCGGCGCTCGGCTTTGTTGGTTGTGAGCAGCAGTGGATGAGAGGCCAAAAGCAACTCCTGGGTCAGGTTCTGCCTACGCCTCAGCTGCCGTATTCCTAACCACATACTGACCTGCGGCACAACTAGAAGCAGCGATTTTCTTAGGGAATAATTCCCTTAGAGGAATAGCCTATCAGTTAAAAGTGGCTGATATTTCAAGGAAGTTTGAGGCCTTCTGTGTTAAAGAGATAGATGTAAGAGAAAGATTTGTTTTTTTCTCCTACTGCAAAAATACGGGAAAAGTGGGTTTGTGTTTTGGCTTGAGGGGAAACAGCTCTGTGCTGCTGGGGTGCTGAGTGGCTGTTCCTGTGCTCCTGATGTGGTGCCAGTGCTGCTTAACTGGAGCTTGGCTCCACATACCTTCTAGTGCTGATACAGGCTGGAGCTGCAAAGGCAGCGGAGCCTGTGGGGTGCAGCTCCTCTCTCCCATGAGTATTGTCTGTCTGCCTGTATTTTTTTTTTTCCTACTGTCGTTGAGGTAGGAAAGTAGTCGAGCAGACCCTGTTTCGAAGCTGATAGATAAAGATAAAACTTCCCAAGGTGGCTGCAGGGCTGGCAGCCACATCCAGGGTAGTCCATGGGCTCTGCAGGGCTATTCCCCACCGGCCCATCGTGCGGCACCCCCAGGCCACTTCTCCCTGGCTGCTGCCGTGGATGTGGCTGCTGCCTGGTGCAGGTGTGGAGGCTGCTCCGGCAGAGCCGGGGTGGGGGCCGGAGCCTGCGCGGGCGCCCGGCGCTCTCTGTGGCTGCGCTGGGAGCCCCGCGGGCAGAGCGGCCCCCTTCCCGGCGTCCCCTGCACCCGCTCGGCAGCACCGTCGTTTTCTCAGGTCTGTGCAGGGGCCCTGCCGGCAGCAGCCCGCGCCGCGCCTGCACTCAGCGCCTTTCTCTCCTTTTTACGCTGACTGAAGCGTAAAGGAATTGCCAAGGGGCAGAACTTGGCCCTTAACCTTGCTCTCCTGTCGGGGCTGGCAGGGTTTCAGGACCGATGCTTCTCTGGGAGAGGCACCTATTTTGTACCTTGGGAACCAGAAATCTGTGGGTTAGGGAGTATTTGCCCAGGTCTGGTAAGGGAAGCAGCACTTTTTTTCTAACTTCCATCCGTCAAGTGACCAAGTTTCAGTGAAGCCATTGCTCTCTTCCATCCCACCTGGAATAATGTAGGTATATTCTCCTTTTAAACTTCATTTTTTTTAACTGGAGCTGTCATTTCAGGTTTTCCTGCTTTTCTTTAAGGGAAAGAAAACAGCTCAGTTTGAAAAACACAACAGGGATAGGGGAGGGGAAAGGAAAGATGGGACAACAGTGAAGTAAAGGGCCTGGCTGGAGCCTCTCCCCTAAAGGCTGCTCTGCTCCCAGCCATTAACCAATGAGCTATTTATTGTTCAACATTTATTTAAAAGAAGGAAAAAAAAAAGGCAAAAAAAAAAAGCAAGCTTTTGGAGTAGAGTGCCTGACAATCCATGCAGGCTGACAGGGACAGATGCTACAAGCCACAAGGTAATAGTTGAGGAACCAAAAAAATCAGACATATATTAGAAATAAAGTTACTTCATTGAGTAGTAGAAATAGCAGACATTTTATTCCCTTTTTTCTGCTTTTACTGCAAACTTTGACAGCAGTAAGATACATTGTTTAATATCCTTACCCCTACGTGAATTCAGTTGCATTCATTCAAGAAATAGTGCTACGATGATGCTACAAAAAGCTCATGTAAAATTTATAGCCTCAAAAGGACACTGTCAACTACTTTTATATTTTTATACATCCCCATGTTTGTAAATATCCTCTGATAAGCTTGAAAATAAAATTTATTTCCCTACCACATTTGTGTTTTTTTTCTTTTTTAATCTGCATAGATTCTCTCCGTCACACCCCTCCAATGCTCCTTCCTAAACCTTGCATTTTATTTGTGCCTGTCATTTGTCTGAACTCAGTTCTGGGAATTGCTGCTAACAGGAGCCTTGTGCCTAACACCTGTTTACACCTGCTTGCACAGTTACCTTGGAGGGACCTTTAGGGAAGAGTGAAGGGGTGTCAGTGAATACTGCCGGTTGTACAAGCACCACAGCTGGGTCTATTTAAAGCATATTTTTATCATGCCTTTATCATGGGCCAAGGGGGAACTGCTTTAACTTGATTCCAGAGTGAGTCCTTGTCTTGGCTCTAGAGCAAGGCCTCTGAGAGGGGCTGTTGGTTCCCTCTTCTGCATCCACTTGTTTTTGCAGGTGCAAGTTCTGTCTGTCTACACGTCCTTTTGAGTAGGTCCATAAACAGATGGGTGCCTTGCAGCGGCTTTAATTTAGCCTCCCCCAAAACCGTGGGCCTAAGCCCTCAAGCGGGGCTGCTGTGAGGAAATTGCCTGGAGGCATGAAGTGTGACATTTCCCCTGCTTTCTCTTCAAAGACGGCTTGTAAATAGTTTAATTCCTTAGTGCATATCTAGATATTGTTGAGCACAGTACTGCAAAGCATAGGGGTATGTGAAACCATGAAATGCACAGGATTCAGGTTAGTCTCCTTTCATTATTTTAATAAACTGCTCCTAAAAATGTCCGCTCCTAGGCATTTTGCACTTATTTCAGTGAGAGTTCACCAAAGCCAGCAACAGGGACTAGGGGAGCTCGTGGTTGGGTATTATCTTTCTGGTCAGGATATGTAAGTCTGTGATGAGGCAACAGGGCAAAAAAATTAAAGCAGTCTCCCATTTTCTTGGGATTCATCAGCATATCGTAGCTGTTACGTAATTGCTTCTGGGTTGCCGTGTCCTGTGAATTCTGGAGGAGCACCTAGAAAGAAAACAGAAGGCATGTTGCACCTGCCCGGCCTGTACATATTCCCTTACACCTGCCATCTCCTACTGCATCTTTTTATTGGCACCAATTTGAGAGGAATGATGTCCAGTGGAACTGGCAGGTTCCTGCTGGACCTCGTACATCAATGCACATTGCAAACATTTCCATGGGATGCTCTGGGCTATAACACAATCAGGTTTGCTCAACAGCTCTAGAGAAGGAAAATATTTGCTATCAGAACAAACCTGAATAGGTTTGTACAAAGCCAGCTTATTAAATTAGCCTCTTGCTGTTTCTGAATATCATTTGTGGATTAGAATTGTGTTTGTATCTGTCAACACTATTGTTACCTGCAGCCGGAGGTCTATGCCCATGTTTTTCAAAAATTCCCGCTGTTTTATGGGGCCTAATGTGGCTGTTCTTCCCTGCGTCATCTTGCGGAGGTAGCTGAAATCCACATCTGCCGTCAGGTCTGCTGTACCCGGAGCTTTCAGCACATCATGAAGTTTGTGATTCCGGAATCCCTGGAAAATTAAATGGGAAGAGGGCATTGCTGGCATTGCTGTACTCTAGCTCCCAGAGCTGGGGCTACCCTTCCTCCCAACTTAGTCTTTGCTGAAGTCAGGCATGCAAATGTGAGATAAATGTAGAAAGGGTTCAGATTAAGCAGTACCACAGGGCTATGTCTTATGGTTGCGGCATAATACATTTTTTTACTATTACATCCACTTAAAACCTTTCAATTATTAGATTAATGCTGAAAATAAGACTAGAGTGCAGTAGGTGTGCACCTTACCCGGAAAGTGTCTGTTTTGGTTCCATCGTGACCGTAATCAGCAATGAGAGCAGCCCCTCCATCCTTTTCTAGACGATGGGCAAGTCTCTGAACGAGGACCCCAGCCTCAGGACACACTTCCACGTGCTCTCTTGTTTCTTCAGGCTAGTGCAGAATTGAAAAATCACAAGGCCAGCATAAGCAAACCTTGCTGCCAAAGGAACTGAGAGGCAATAACTGCATCTGAAAGAGCCAATAATGATCTACGTATTAGTTTCAGTAGTTAGGACCTTACCTGAATAAAGTTTTGTGTCGCAGGGGTAGCGGATGGTGCCAGGACAAACCGGAGCTGGTCAGGAACTTCTGGATCTTCATCAACCAGCACTTCACGCCATCCTCTATCTGTTCTCTGTTTAATGAACGCAGAGGAATGATTTTCTGTCCTAATGAGGACACAATTTCATCTCTGATTCAACTAATGTGTCAGACTAGCATGTTTCTCTCAGAAATTTTAAGAATGTAACATGCTACTAACAGCTACCTATTGCTGCCTTGGTACAAGCTTGTGCTAGAACCTGGCCTACAGTCAACAACTTCAGCTTTCATTATACTTAAAGGGAATAAATGATACTACAGAGAAAATGCTGCCTCCTCTACTTCCAGTACCTTGGTCTGGTGCAATGCTTAAGTTGCTAAAGATTTTTCCTGCTTCTAATAGTGATTTTGATAAACTAATTAATACACTGGCATTGCAAGTGTTTATTCTAAAAGCTAACTAGCTTTTGTTTTGCTGTTGCCCTTGTTTTGCTACACCTTTTAAATGAAAGGCCTTCAGAGTTCAGCTTCTTTGGTGCTAGTAATACATAGAATAATACTGAAATTAAATTCTTACTAATGTAGCATCAATAATAAGAAACTTGAGACTTAACTAAGTAAAATATAAATCTTTTTTACTAATATCTTGTCCAATTACCAGGTAAATTAAGCTTTACTTTGTCCAGGTCTGATTAGAAATATTCTACCATAGTCACTGGATATGTCCAAGTTGGCAGCATAATTCTTTTCCTTAAAGAGGCAAGCACATTCACAATTATCTTCTTGCAATACCTGAAACTTATGTATGGGCAGGGCATCAAAAAACTCATGTGCTAAATAAAAGCTGTAACCTGTTGGAAGGAGAAAGAGAATAAGTTCAAGTATTTGTTTCAAAATGGTGCTTTAAAAGCAGTTTCCACTTAATTTTTTTTTAATATTTTAATTAAGCTAGTTAATATCACTATGAAATAATTGTCATTATTTCCAGCATTGAAAGCATCCCAAGACAACATTTCCACAGCTAGCTAACAATGTATGTTTTTTAGGACTTTTGAACACCTGTACTAATGTTAAGGCAACACAGTCAGTAACCGAGCCACACAAAGAAGTGCTGGAGCTTATGGAGGAGGTGACTGTTCCGAAACGAAGACTGTCAGAAGTGGTTGCCACTATGGGCGGCTGAGGCAAGATCCTGGGTCAGGCTCCCACCAGAAAGAGGAGCTAATATGGATGTTATGGAGCTGTGGAGCTGCTATAAGGATATCTTGCTAGCAAAGATCTCCTCAGTTGTCCAAAATGGCAAATAGAGAGGAGCCATCCCTGTAACGACACCTTCAGGTTCCTCACCTTGTGGCACATCTTGAATGTCTCGGTACCAGGAGATGGGGATTCCAGTCTTGCTAATGCCTTTCATGTAAACAGGGTCGTCCCTGGGGCTTGACTGCACCTGCCCTCCTGTCAGCATCTGTGCTTGGATCTCACTGAGTCTGGGACTCACTTCTACCAGGTGAATAGAAATATCACATTTACTAAGTAAAGAGGCAAGCTGCTTGAAGACCTATAAACACAGATGAGTTCCATTAGGCACAGTCACATGTTATATACATTAAATGGTTAAGAATGAAAAACAGGCAAGTTGTCTCCCGTATTTATATTCAAGAGTAGAGATTCAGTGGCTTTCACTTAGCAAAATGCCCTCACTGCTGTTCCAGAACGAAACAGGAATTCCTAGCTCAATTTTAATAAAAGCTGTTAAGCTTCTTCTAGACAAACTGGCAAATGAAGACCAAATGTTACGCAGCAGCAAGCACAGTAATACCCCGTGCTCATTCAAAATGGTAATAGGCTTAAAGCAAGTGGCTCCTCTAGTGCTAAGTTCTGCCTGCTTCAGGAGGTGAGTGCTCACCAACCGCTATTATATATTTCACTATGCTTTGTACAATTCTTTTTCATTAACAAACATAAATACAATAAAACTTCTGAGGTGCTGAATGAATCCCATTAGCAATCTGCTTTTGAAATGGAAATATTTTAATGAATGTATACTTATGCAAGAGTGATGGAGCAGAAAGGGTTAATTCAGAAACAATAAATCAGTGAAATTCTCCAAGAAAACGATACAAGTTCACTTTTCCAGTTTAAATAATGCTTTCCTATAAATAATTTGTAATCTAATATTCCTGCCCTCCCTTTCTATTAAGTTTTACTTGGAGCTGTGTGTGTGCACTGCACACAAGCACTGGCCCAAGTTCTGTGCTCACTTTGGAGGCCCAGTCATTGCAGCAGAAGCAGCAAGTTTCTGTTTTAACAAGAATTCAAGCTGCAGGTCTGCTAAGGCAAATGACTGGCTTCCTAGGTAAGATTTAATCTCTGCAGCAATCTGCATCATCCAAGAGCCTCGTCCTTTGCGCCAGGTGTGCGTGTGCGTGGGAACGAGGCCCGCAGTGCTGCTGCACTCACCCGCAGGATGTCGTGGGTCAGGCTGCCCCGGCCGGGGCCCAGCTCCACCAGCTGGAACGCGCCGGGCTTGCCAGCCGCCATCCACTCGCTGACGTACCAGACCCCTATGAGCTGCCCCGGGGAGGCAGCGCAGGCGAGAGACACAGCTTTACAATCCACGGGAGACGACACCCGCCCTCTGCCTGCCAGTGACTAAGATATCTAGCAGCAATCCCAGGCTTGTAGCACAAGGACCAGCGATGAGAAGTCACTGCAATAGCTGGCACTGCGGCTACCCGCCCTCAGCCTGCTCCTCGGCAGGGACTGTTCCCTCAGCAGCAGCAGCTGGAAGCCGCGTGAACGGGTTGGATGTTTTCCCATCTGCTGCCTCCAAAGGACTTAAGTTACACCGAAAACGAGGGTCGCTACCCCAATATGTTTGCAAGAACCTTCCTTGAGGGCCATATGCTTATGCAGAACCCAGCATGAGCGCACTGATGTTCAGGGCTTTGGAGAAGTTACGGTGCTCCAACGCAGAAACGAGGGAGGCCAATGACTCTTCCTGTCACTTAAGGACGGGAGCCCTGCTTTGGAAGGGGGCGGCTCCCCGCCGCGGCGCCCCGCGCCCCACGTTACCTCCCCGAACACCTGGCTCATCTCGGGCGAGGTGACGAAGTCGCCGCTCTCGCCGACGCCGCCGCGCCGCGTGTAGTAGCCCTGCGGAGGGGAGAGGCCGTGAGGCCCGGCCCGGCCCCGCGCCCGCCCCGCACCGGCGCGGCCCGGCGCGCACCTGCGCGGGGTTGGTGAGCGCCTCCCGCATGTACTCGGCCACCGTGAGC